TGCATTCAGTCCATRCAGAGCTGGGGTTCTACCCCAGCTATTGAAAAGGCAGTAATTCCATTTAACTGCAACATAAACCATCAAACAGAACCTAATTCTGTCTTTGTAGTGAAGCTYGTATTTTTTYCMWWAWTTTTTTTTYCATAARAATTACTTYATTGCTCTCTACTGACCCTCTCACTGTTTCAGAGACAGATGATGTACAAATTCTTGCATCAGTGGGTGGGATGAAGAAGTGACAGGTGATCCCTCAAGGGAATGGAACTGGAGCCAGCAGCAATGTTTCCAAAGCACCCCATCCACCCACCCCAGACAGAGCAGGAGGCACACGCTGCCCCATCACCCTTCACTGGGAACAGGGACACGAGCCTGGATCTGGCTCTGTGGAAAGCTCCCTCTGCTCTGGCATCACCCTTGGGGCTGGCCCCGTGGAAGCAAAGACACTTTTRTTCCTCCACTTTCTTTAAGGGGTTKGGGAASACACASATTTGGTGCAGCTGCCCCAGCTGGCACACCTGGCTGGGAGGGAGCTGACTCTGCACAGAATGCAGAAAGAGCTCTGGAAGCCTTCCCCTCCAGAAATGAAGCACATCTCTGCTCTGTGACACTTCCACGCCTCACAACAGGGAGATGGACACACTGGCCTTTCCTGACCCATTCCTGGTATTTTCCACGTGGGATAGGGGGGTACAGTGAGGAGGTTGTGGTTTAATTTAGGCTGCGAGCCCCTGCAGCACAGAAACCTCTGATCCARCCCTGCCTGTCTCACTGATTCCATGCACTCACGGTAGGCATGGCATCAGAACAACAGTCTGGGCATCTGGGAAAAACCAGAGACACCAAAATCCATCTTATCTGGGAGCAGGAGCCGTAGAAACTGAGCATGGAGGATGGCTGAACACGAGCAACCTGGCAGATCATCCCTGCAGCAAATCAGCCCTGTCTGCATCACTTTGTGGGCTCACACAGGACCGACAGAAACGCCAGCAGCTTCCAGAAAATTCACCATTGCTGCCCTGGCTCTGGGGTGTCCCCACTCTCTGGGGAGATGCCCACCTGTTACCATGGCAACAGCAGCATCACATCTCTCAACACACACTCCTGGCCAGCTCCAAGCCCCCYGAGCAAAGTGGGAAAAGGATCAGAAGACAGCAAAGTTCCCTTCACACCATTTGCTCGGCCTCGGAGTCGGATTACGTGAAAATGCATGGCTATATTTAACCCCTGGGACGCGCTCCCAAAAATCCTACACCGGGAATGGGCAGAGACCAAACGTGCCTGTGATGCTTTTGATCTTCCAGCAGAGCTGCTCCCCTGAATTAGCAGCACATGTCCCGGCAGCAGAACCCTCCTTGGCTTTGGGATTCGGGGAGGGGTTGGGGTAAAAGCCTGGTGGATTTATGGCACCTCACTATGGCAACATTTGGACAATACTGTCTGCGTAAAACTGCTCAGAACCTTCAGAGAAGCTGGTTCAAGTGGGTTCCTGCTCTCAAAGAGCAGAGATAGAATTATCTTCCATTATTTTTCTCTGGGTTTTTGTTTTGTTGGGGGTTTTTTTTGGTTGGGTTTTTTTTGTTGTTGTTTTTATTTGGTATTTTTTGTGCAGCTCCCCCCTCAGTGGATTTTACACACACCCTCCTGGGGTGATGCAGATGGTTTCAGCCCATGGCACTCCTTCCATCCAGGCCATGAATGTGTGAACCCACCACAGCAGCTCTCACATACACTGCAGCAACAGACTGAGAAAAAGAACACAGAAATAGGGACAGCATGCGCCATACACACAAATCAGTGATGGAGACTTCAACATCTCACGCTCTTTGGCCAATAAAGAAAAAAAAAGTTCACTAAGCTGGCAAGGATCACACTGAGGAGGGAAGGGGATACCTTCCTCCAAGAGCTGAGTTAATATTCTCTGCTCAATTCAAAACCAAGGTCCCCACCAGGCTGGAGAATTTCCACACAAACTGTTCCATAGGTGCCACCCGCATTACAAAACAGCTCATTTGCAGAACACAAGAAATCAGGCAAATATTAAAATAATGATGCTTCCCATCAGTGGAAGCAATGTTTCCTTGAAAATTGGGTTACTGTGCTGGAAACATAGCATTCATCTCGACTTCCAGAGAGCTCTTGGAAAGAAATGCTGGCTCTGACCCACAYTGCAGCACAAAATCCTTTGTAGGAAGCAGCAGTAGGAAGAGCAAGCAGCATCACTCTACAGCTTGATATCTGCACCAGAAAGAGATGATGATTCTTAAAAACTTCCTGTCAGCACATGAAAATAAAATAAATACCTCCTTTTTGYTATTTGAGAACAGATAGTTATAGACACAAAGCCATCCTGGAAAATAATAAAGCCCGGGCACGAACCCACAGGACRGCCACAGTAATTTCCTCCCCTATTTATAGGAGGTGCTGTGGTGTTTGTTGAGCCTACGTGCCTTTCTGCTGCTCCAAATTCTTGTTCCTGGGTGTCCCACAACTTCCCCAGACATGGGAGGATGAAAGGCTGGTGTTTCCACCCACAGACTCCCCAGTCCTCTTCCGTTCAGCATGTTTCAGCTTTACTATATTCATATATATACATTTTATATATATATACATATATGTATAGATATATAGATATATAATAAACAGCACAGACAACCCGTACACTTTGGGTTTGATCACTTTACAAATATGAGTTATTTGAACCCTGTTACAAGAGGGAATAATCAGCACTGGCAAAGGCACCCCCACCAATAAGAATAATCCATGGTACCTAGGAGGGCAGGTGCTAACCGCCCATATTCTGCAAGATGCCAAATGTTCAACTCTAAAATCAGGCCCTGAACAAGAAGCAAAGAAGAGAAGAAAAAAAAAAAAGAAAAAACCCTCTGTTTTTCTAGAAAAGAACAATATTAGCAGAGATAGCGCCACTCAGGTTTACAGACCTAAGTTTTCTTTTTAGAAGGGTGTAGGAGAGGAAACTGGCCTTGATTTATTGTCCTTCACCCAGTCATCAACAACAATGCCAACATTTTCTGGGGTATGATTTTAAAAACCCAAAAATAGCGATGCTCTCCAAATGTTCCTGGTCCCAGAGCCCATGCTCCACACAAGCACATCCTCTATTATCCACTGTATTTTCTGCATCCAGCTGGAACTAATCATCAGAACTGCAGGCTTTTGTTTAGACAAATATCTACAGTACAAAAATACAGATGTTTGGGGGGAAAAAACCAACCTAAAACAGATTTCATGCAGAGGATAAGCCATAGAACAGTCTAGAATAAATGATATAAAAGCCAGTCAGCTCTCATCTGGAGCATAGGAAGGCAGGGATCATCCCCTCAGCAGAACAACCCAGTCAGGATGATGATGGGAGGACAGGCTCTCATCTAAGCCATCTTTCACAGAGCCAGGGGGGTACTTGTCATTTTCTGCTCCTTTTGGTTCGGTTTTGGGTTTTTTTGGTGGCTGTTTGTTCGTTTGTTTGGGGTTTTTTGGTGGGGGTGGTGGTTTATTTGTTTTTTTTTAATCCCCCAGAATCTCCTCATTGGTGATGCTCACCTTTCAAGTGCTCTAAGATGGATATGGACACTTTTAACTGAAAATTACCTTTTAATTTGGAAAAAAACTGAATATTACACAGTCCCTGCCACYTGAGCCAGAGTTATCAGACACACACAGCAGTTCCCAGGCTCTGCAGGACCTTGGAAGCTGTAACTGAGACTGCTGCTCCTGAAATGAGCACTGTGCCTGTCCTGCACTGCCAAAGGATTGTCCCCTAAACACTGGAATCAACTGCATCAACATGAACATCACCCCTGAACATCCTCATGTTCTGCCTTAAGACTTTTTCCAGCTGCAGCATCCTGGAACTCCTTACAAACTCCAGCCCTGAAGGAAATTCAGTTCTGACAACATACTTGAAGAACACTAAATTACAGCAATAGCCAAAATTTCCTCCTTGTTTAACCTGCAGACAGCTGCWGTGGCTGGGGCAGGGGCAGCAAGAATGCTCCTCAAAGCAGTGATGATAAATCCTTCTGATGGCTTTGCTTTCACAGAGTGCTTGCTCTTCTCTTCCAAGATTGAGAACTTCCAAGAAACAGCAAAAAGCCAAAGCAGAGGAGCAGAACAGGGTGTGGGGTTTGACCTGGGATGTCAAGCTCTGCTTAAATCYTTATTTTGTTTTCCAACATGAGTGGCTGCGCTCACAGAGGTGGGGCAGTGGGGAACAGTCATAAAAATAAAAACCATTAAAAGAGCTTCACACAGAGAATGGAGAGCCAAGCRTCCCAAAGCAAGCATTTGCAATGCCAAAGAAAAAGAGTAGAACTTATGCTGTAAAATGACTTTTTGAGATACAGAAGGAGGTAACCTTGGTTGAAGTATCAGAAATTTTAAATGCTCATCATATAAACGCATTTCAGAAGGGGGTTTCTTATTATTTGTATTTTTAATAAGGTTCTGCCTCTAACTTTAGTTTCAGATACACTCTTGAGGTACTGTATMCTTTTAATTTACCTTCATTCATTTTTGGTTTTCCAGGTTTGAATATAAGGTACAAGCAGGATAAAAATCGACTTCTTACCTGTCAACAAGTTGCATCATAAATTCCACTACCAGAATTTTTTTTCATTTAGTGCATATTGCTCATTTATTTTGTGTCATTTCAAAGGAYATAGGAACTCTTAATCCACCTTTTAAATATCTAATTCTTTATTTTTTATCTATTTCTGTTTAACTGTGTGTGACATTTTGAAATACAGAACAGCAATGTAGAAATAATCTTGATTGTAAATATGTCACAAATCATAAGGCCTGATYCAACTACTGTGGAGTACAATGGGGCAAGAAGTGCAATATTAATGTTCTGAAGATTATACTTTTGGTCTCACTACTGTGAAAAATTAATTAAAAATTGTTATTAAAAGTCTCAGACATTGAAATCCCACACTGTCACTCAGTCACACACACACAAAACAACAGAACATTTTACTACTCACCATTTGAGATCTATTTTTTGGGCAGCCATTGATGTCTTCAATCTTTTCATTTGCTGCAAAGCAAGGAAAAAAAAAAAAGAGGCAATAAGGCAAAAAAAACCTAAACCAAGGGCATTTATTCCAATGACTTCCTGAGCACTTGCTGCCAGCCCAGTGAAAGGGTTTCAGATTGTAGCTGTCCAGTCCAAGTGAATGAGTGAAGCACTGAGAGCCACAAAAATAAAAAAAGGCAGCTGGGCCGTGCCTCTAGAGACAGCTGGGGCAGAAGCCAACTGCTCTGACAACTTCTTGTAGGGTGGTGGGGAATTCCTTTAAACTACAGCAAAGACTGAGGCTGCGGAAGCTGAATCACTGCTGGGTGGAAAGGGATGTCTGCATGTCAGCTGGTCTGCTTGGAGAGCCAACACAGGCTTTWAATCCAAATGGGAAATTTGTCATCAGTCACTCTAATAACTTGTCTTTATCTTTTTTTAAAGCGCAAATCAATGAAACAACTTTTCAGGATTCTTGACCGTGGATTCTTGCTTGCTACCCCAACCTGCAGTAAAACACAGCTTCCATCTTTAAAGTCAGAAGGGGAACAATGAAATCCCTGAGGTGGGTAATGTTTGCCTTAGATTGGCTCAGTTTCACCTTTCAGCCTCGGACCCTGAAATGACTTTTGTGTCTGAGTCTCAAGAACCAATTTTAACCAATCCAGTTCCCCCATTTTTTCACTGTAATAAAGGCAGGTGCTCACTCCCATTTGATTCATGCCTTAAAGGCTGTATTTTCTAGCTCTCCCTTATATTTTTAGGACAGCAGTCAGAACTCCCTCCTGTTCTATGGGATCTTTCCAGGAGGATCCCATTTGGCACGATATTCCAGTAGCAGTCACAGCCATGAGAAACGGAGCAGGAACAGCCTCACTCTTGTCTGGTASGTCCCATTTTACACATCCCTGTCATAGCACACCTTTATCCCCCAGCAACGCAACCAAAAATTGCTGCCAATCTGAAAAAAACGTGCAGCCAAATCTGCTGTGTGCTCCCCAGAACAGCCCCCACACACGAGGAGCACTCATTGCTTCCAGGAATGTAATCCTGGGTTTGCTCACACAGAAACAAAGATGAATCCATTAAATCTCATTTCCCAATTCCTGGGCACCCATCTCATAATATTTATTATCTCTCACTTTGATATCACAGAATATCGCCATCAACTAAATTTGTAACACTTGTAAAAACTTAAAAACTGACAGCTCTATTGCCATAAACTGGCACCATCATAATTATGACTGGAAATGAGATTAATGAGCTTGTGAATGGGCTGTCTCTTGTTTGGGACAGGAGATAACTCCAACAGCCCAGGACAGACCCRGTGGATCTGCACTCATGGATTTAAACACAGCTACTGAGTTCATGTGGCTTTACTAAGGCACATCTCGTTAACACATTCTTTTACAGGCTCACGAATTTTGGATTGAAATGAACCAGAATGCTGGGAATACATTTTAATTGGCTTGGAAAATAGCTGTTTTTAACATAGCTCCTGCACTGCATATCAAAGTTCTCCTACTATGCAGTTAGGAACATAAACTTGGATTTTGCAGTTATTTTTACCAATAAAGCTGCTTCTGGGTGTGAAAGTCCTGCCCATCTTTAGACAGCTGCATCTCGTTGTCACAAAGCCATAAACAGCAGATACAAATTTATTTTCTTCACTGATAATTTGGAGGATTAAACTGAGAAATGTTTAAATATGACCTTTCTTTCACATGAAGAACATTCTGTGCAAAAGCAATCCTTCCCCTCATACTTTAACTTTACAAACCTTGCAGACCTGATCTTAAATATTAACCAAAAGGCAGTTATAAAAATGACSAAAAAAAATGCAAAGGTGATCAAAGCAATAATTGGCTATATGCATGTATTTCARAAGGAGTAATTTGAATTTCTTAAGTGTTTTCACGAGTCAATATTTAAAGAGCTACACTGAAATAYTTGTTAGAAAGAACCAATTYCACATTTTGACAGTGGACAACCTCYTGCYMGTGGTTTGTGGCATCCCCAGCACTGGATGGATGAGCCTCTGAAGGAAATAATGAAGGCCCCAGGGAAGAGGGACAATATGCAGCTGCACATGGAGAAAATTGTGCAGAACTTTCATTATTTCAATCCATTAACRCACTGATTTCAGAGAACAAAAGGCTTTGGATAAAATAACTGAGCMTGCATTTGAGATTTGTCCCAATGGTGAGTGATTTTCCTCATGTGAAAACGAGGGATTTCCTTTTCTACCTCATAAAAATGACACCCCTTCTCCTTTCCCAGCTGGACAGATGAATCTCCCAAATCCACCACGAGGTTCAACACAGGAGGCAGCATCACTGTGAATTATATTCAGACCAGTACCCAAGAGATATTCAGAACAGTGAAGGCTACCAGCATCCAGCAGAAAAAAAAAAAATCTCATGAGTTGGTTTTTTTTTTTTTTTTTTAACATCCAGCCACCTGGAGTAACTGTGCTGTGTCGGGAGATCTTATCAGCCATATCCAATATTTTTCCACCGTGTTTTAAGACCAGGTTTTTTCACATTAATTGGCAGGGACTCTGAAGGAGAAGGATCTCCCCAGTTCCATGCAGTGTGATGGATTCTGTGTTTGTGTAGAAGATAAAACCAGGGGCTGTCCGAGCTGGGGGATGCTGAAAGTCACTCACCTACAACTTGGATGATTTCAGCCAACAGGACTCCATCAGTCACATCTTGCTGCAGATCCTTTATCAATCTCTTGTGACCAGATTTTGCCAGRTAGTGATTAGCCCAATCCGTATAAATCTGTTAGGAGACAGATAAACAAAAACAAACTGTTACTCATAACCTGAAAAATGAGAATTTTTTGTTTCTCTCAGTATCCGAAAGGCTGATTTGAGATCACTGCTTTTTTTTTTTCTTCTTTGAAACAAATCAACAGCATTAAAATTCAAGGCCTTGTGCAGATCAAGCATTCAGCTGACTGAAATATGGATTTTTGCATTCAGCAATCTGACATCAAAGCTSAGGGAAGATGACAGCAAACTCCTGAACACATTCCAGCCTGGATGGATCACCAGGAGAACAGTGGAATATTCTACAGCAGCAGGGAGTGGTAGAAGAGATTTCAATTTCCACTCAAGTATTTTTATTTTGCATTTTCCCTTTGACATTTTTCTTCATAGCTGTTACTGAGAAAACTTAAAGATCCTGCTCCTGAAAACAGTTCTGGTAGATATGAGCCATACAGCAATTTTATCAGGGGAAAATCCTTTGTTGTATTACCAAAGAAACCTTTAAAGGTCCTAAAATTCTACCARTTCTAGTAAAATCCATCTCACAGGTTAAACAGGCCTATTAAATTGTTTTTAATCTCTTATGCACCCTTCCAGCTGTTGGGATTTATTGCAAAATGTGTTACCTGAAAACTAAGCACACCAAGCAGCCAAAAATCTCTCCTGAATTGGCATTAAGGAATGCTCGTCACCAGCACGATTTATTCAACGTCATCGGCAAACTTAAAAAAACTTTTCATGCTAGGTTATCAAAAAGAAGCCAAATTACTTCACTAGGAATTTCTGCTCATAATTTAAATAACAATAGTCATATAGGACTGCATTCAAAATTCTTTAAATTCTTTAATAACAATAGTCATATAGGACTACATTCAAAATTCTTTAAAGAGGGAAGCATTGGTTATTTGTTAAATTTCTTATTAGAAAATTCTAGACAAATATGCTAATTTCTGAAGTCTATAAAGCTTAGATACATGTTTTATGCAGTGTTTATTTTCCAGCATTTTTTCCATTGTGTTGAGCTGCTCACCTCGAGTCCCATTAAATACCAAGATAAAACACTTTTACCCCTTAACCATGTCTGTGTTGTAATTAAAACTGGCCATCAAGGCAACAATGAGACAAAATTAAGAACAGAGGTTTTGACTAGAGCTGGTTTTGTTACAAAGTTCTTCATTTGTACCTTTTTTTTTTTTTTTTTAACCTGTAAAACACTAGTGGTAGCAGCCTTGAACAGAGCACTCAATATCTGAAAGGCATGCCCCTATTTTCTACCATTTATCCCTTCCTCTCCCCTTCAGAGCAGCAGGATGTGCATTTCCTATGCCAACAGCATCACGGACTCCAACAGAAAAACACACTAGAACACCTCCACAAAAAAAACACCAAAAAACAACAAAACCCAGAGCTGAAAAACATCTCAATGAAATAAAGGGTGAGCACACGTGAGGGATTGCCCCAGCTGACCCATAAACGGGGCAAAAATCCTTCACTGCACACACCAGACATTGTGTTCCTCAGCTCCTTCTACAAGAACACGTTTTCCATAACAGGAAGGTGGTTTAAAAGATTCAATGACTGCAGGGAACGAGGATTGATTAAACCTACTTCTCAGCCAAGTGGTTTGAGCTCTCTTATCAAGGAGTGAAGACATAGGAGGAAAGAGTTGTAAACTATTTCACTCTGCAAGTGCAGGAATCCACCTCTCCCCGCCAAGGAACTTATCAAACATGATATCCACCACGATAACCACGCTCTTCTTGCACGGGAGGGCTGCAGTGAACATCCCCGTTCATCACTGAAGGACCTGCAGCAAATCTGAGATCATCCTTTGATGCATCAGTGCCATCCTGGATCATTTCCACCATGCAGTCAGACAAACCCTTGGAGCAAAAGCAGGAGCAGACCCCTCCTGGCAGAGCCTGAAATCCCAGCGAGCCCTTGAGAGGCAGTCAGGATTGATTTGGAATCCAAATGACAGCGTGAGAATGCACGGCTGGCACTGCACAACTGCCATCCTGTGATAATAATAATACCCTTATTTTACACCCCAGGATGGGCTTTAAAAACTTCTCAGGGATTTCACACAGGAAAGGCAGCTTCATTCCTTTGGGTACAAAACCCAAGTGAACATCATGATTTGGGCACTGTCACCTGCTCCCTACTGCCCCAACTCCTGTCACACCCAGGAACACAAGATCTTATATTCATACCCTGGAAACAAACAGAACTACATCAAAGAAACCCCTGAACTCCCTTAAATCCTCCTGGTAAAGGAGACAGCTTGAAAAACCCCAAACACCTGCTGTCTGATTCACTGCATGTGATAAGGCACAAAGAAACTCCCTCTGATGGCAAATTATTCTCATAAATCCCACTTTGTGYGCTGTGCTTGCTATTTGAACTAAAACCAGAGCTTTTATGCTTATTGTAAAATATTCCATTAAATGCACACCAGTGTGGAGGAAACATTTGTTTCTGGGGTATTCAGGGGTATGGAATATTATTTTATTCTGCCAGTTGATTGGGAAAGCATTTCGCAGGAAAACACAGATCTAATAAATCTGTGTTTCCCTTTACAGTGTTATTACACAACATTATTTTGCAATATGCATAATAATCTGTACAATAACAACATGCAAATTATTTTTTTAACTGACTGGGCTCCATATTTTCAAGCTTTGAAGTTGTATTCTTACGTGCCCAGTACAATCCAGGTTTATTGTAGTAGATCCTCGTGGTCCCACTGGTTTTTATGGCCTGCATTAAGCCAATCATTGAAACTTTCCAGGATGTTTTCAAAACCTGTTTGTTGCAAGGCTTTGTAATGTACTACACAAATAGATCCCTAATGTTTCTTTTCCTTTTCCATACAAACAAGAGAAAAAAACCCCGCAATTGCACAATGGCTGCTATTTCCAGACACACAAAATAAGTTTCAAAACACACAGTGTTTTCAAATGTTCAAAACCAGGCAAATAACTCAAAAAACAATAATAAAAGAAGAAAACTGCGGAGAAAATTACCATTTTCCTATCTCTGCACATGAATGATGAGTGCTCCTCACGTATTTTCAGCAGATGGGCACAAAGCCACACATCTGAAAATTCATGTGAAAATCACCTGAGAAGTTATCTGATTAAAAACATAAAAATCTTGTGAAATGGAGTAAGTCATAATKCTTAATTTTACACACCAGGATGAGATTTAAAAACTTCTCAGTGATTTCACAGGGGAAAGGCAGCTTCATTCCTTCAGGTACAAAAYCCAAGGGAACATCATGATTTGGGCATTACCATCACAAGTGGGTCTTTGTGTCCAAGTCAATTTAATGTTTAACTCAGGTCTAAGCCCCAGCTTTTGCTAAAGGTGGACTCAGCAGTTTGGGAGCTTTTTTTTCTCTATGGTGTATCCCAATTATCTGGGAACAGATTAAAAACATGTGTGAAAGACTTTTTTTCTCTCTTTCTCTCCCCCTTTGATCCATCACATTTGAATTAAGAGTGTTACAGTTAATATCAATTTTGGAAATGTCTCTGGGTCACTATTCTGAAATACATTCATGGAAAGAAAAGGATTCACGTGGAACTACTTGAAAAGAACGCCTCTCCTCCACGCAAGTAGAAAATCTGCCTGAATCCCTCCCTTGTTACTCATTTCCACACGCACACAAAAATCTAATTACAATCAAYGCCCAAGTAAATGTTCAAATCTTTCCTTCCTTCCCTTACCATGTCAGTTCTGAACTAATCAGACTCCGATTGTTTTCTCCCAATAATTATCRTGAATCAGGCTCTCATGAATCTGCTAACAGCTGAAGAATATCTTTTTGACATCATGTAGCATAATTAGAGCAGAGCAAGGCTCTTTTTCCGTGATTGAATAGCAGGGTTAGTCACATCGATGAACTCCCACCACAATGCAGTGCCTGTGCTGCTGCTGCTGCCCAAACCCCACTGCCTGCTGAAAATCACAGGGAAAACAAAAACCACCCCAAAMCATAAAAATAGCCACCCCATACTGGCGGGATACAAAGTGCCTGCAGCCCTTACCAGACTGTGGGGTTTTGGGAAAGCCCAYGAGATCCTCACTGCTGCCCAGGGTCATGGGGCTTGCACATGTGGAGTCACAAAATCCCAATTTTTGGCTGGCTACACTAATTGGATGATCCCATTAACAGATATCACACTGCTGAACAGCCAAAGGTGTGGCTGAAAAACTCATCCCTCTGAAGCACCTCTGGCTCCAAGGAAGAGCAGGAAGGAAAATATTCTGAGAGTGCACAGAGATTATGGCCCTGGCAATAACACAGCTGACATTTTGCTGAGTGAAAGGACAACTGAGAAGAACATGGTTAAAAACAAAATAAATCAAGTTTAACAGCATTCATCACAGGCCTTTTTTCAAAGGTTTCTCACAATGTGTGCCCTCAGTTGCTCCTACGTGCTTCTTAAATCCTGCATCAGTACATCTGTACCATGACATAAATCCCACTAAAAGGATAGTGCTGACTCTCCCAGAATGAATGAAGCTTTGCGTTGCAATCCCAAAAAAATGTTCTGTGGGTTTTTTTTCCAAATGTAAATTCTTGCAAGACAAAACAAAAAAAAAAAAAAAAAAAAAGGCTTAAAAAGCAGGACACAAGACAGATAACATGTGCCCACATTTCTCTGTGATGGATTAAAGGTATCAGTGGGCTTTGAGCAAAGAGTTCTCTGTCTGCTCCTCTTCTTTAAGGATGCAGTTGAAGGTTTGAGGACAGCAGGACATAAAGCAAATATCCATTGTCCTTAGGGGTGCCCAGGAGTCCCCAGTGACCTCAGAAGAAAAGGACACATGAAGCAGGCACCAAATTACCTCTCCTCTCTGCTCCAAGACACCAGAAACATTCTGAAAGTCAGGATGGGAGACCAGAACTTTGTTCACTCCATCCTACCAGCACACCTTGGCACCAATGCCAGAAAAAAAAAAATAAAAAAGAAACCAATAAAAAGGAGAAAATAAAAAGGA